ATATATATTTATATGTGGAGGGTGTCATGGCCACCATGGATTTTAACTTGGTAACCAAATTTTCAAAGGCACCCTTCTTACACCTAGCTACAGCCACACACCAAAATGGAAGTCGGCGCTTCACTTATTTTTCAAGTTTTCATGTTCACAACACAGACGTAGGGTATTTCCAATTCCACCTTTTCGCTCCGCAACAGGGGACCAACAAAAAAAAAAAAGAATAAAAAAGTGCTCAAACCTCTTCAACATTGCATTCGTTCTCTTTGCACAAGGTTTCGAGAAGCTGCACATCAACCTCTGGTTCTGCAGGTCGGGATTTGGCTTTGCACTGACTGCGGCGAGACGTTCGCGTCACCGGGCTCCGAACCCGGCTGATGGAGGAACCTGGGAGAAATGTGAATATAAACCAGAACAATCAGCTAACGTCCAATTTATGACATGAGAGCTTCACCACATTTCATTATTTAACTTTCCAGTTAAGGTTTTCATAGTTAGGAGTATAAAAGCAAAACATGAAGGATAAAACAGAGAACAACAAAGGCTTACTAAACAACTGCAACAAAACACATTGTTACAAAATAACTACAGCTTACTTATTGAGCTTACCAACCTTTTTCTCTTTTTTTTAAAAAATAAAACAGACTTGAATTTGAAGGAAACGTTGCTGAAGCTCACCATAAAGAGGCTGCAGAAGGTCTGGACAGCAGCGCTTGATAAATAACTCCAGTGTGCAAAGCAGCAGCTGGAACGATATGACCAGGTCATCCTCCATCTGCAAGGCCCTTCCTGAAACCAGAACATGAGACCGGTCATCGCAAAAAATACCGAGTTCGGTTAGAAACAACAGAACTGTAAAAAACAGGGCTGAAGTTACTTTTGTCCGATTAACCCGATACCTGCAGCAGATCATGAACAATGAACAAATGAAAATAAAAAAGATGGAGCAGCATAAATACATTTCTTTCAGGGGTGATAAAGGCTGACTCTTACTTGTTTTAGTTGTTAGCTCGTAAAAACGTCAAAAATTATTCTACCTTTTGCCAAAAGAAACATGGTCCAGCAGGTCCGCATGGTCTCCCTCTCCCTTGAAATTGAAACACTTAACCGTCAGTCATGCATTATTTATCCAACTTTATTAAACACATGACTGCAAAGCTGCTGAAGAAAGTAAAAAAAAATGAATACAGGTGGTAGAAATGGTTTACTTACTTGCCATTGGGGGTCAAAGCAAAGATATTCTTGCACGTTCTGAAACAAAGCAGATGTTATGGCTGGTTAATGCTTTGCTTCATTTAAATGAATAAGCTGCCGTCGCTCTGCTCTCACTCACTTCTCAAACCTCTGGTAAAGAGCAAGCATCACGTCAAACTTCTTCTCCAGTCGTGTCAACGCTGCGTTCACTTTGGTGCTTATCGTGTCCATGTTCACGTCCAGCTGTCTCACCAGATCTAAAAACTGTTTGAAACTGAAAAAGAAAAGCAGAGGATTGAAGTCATCCATTTACCTTACAGACACTACTGTATATAATAACAAAATCACCTCTTTTTGATGAAAAGAGGCAACAAGAGTCTTTTCTCTTAGTTTAGGAAACCATGAACAGTTTGGCACTTTGTACTTCCCCATTTAGTGATTATTGTGAGGAAAAAAAGTATTTGAACACCCTGCGACTTTGCAAGTTCTTCCACTTAGAAATCATGGAGGGGTCTGAAATGTTCATCTTAGGTGCATGTCCACTGTGAGAGACATAATGTAAAAAAAAATCTGGAAATCACAATGTATGATTTTTAAATAACTTATTTGTGTGTGTTACTGCTGCAAATATGTATTTGAACACCTGCCAATCAGCAACAATTCTGGTCCTCAAAGACCTGTTAGTCCTCCTCTAAAAAGTCCACCTCCACTCCACTGATTATTCTAAATTAGAAGCAGCTGTTTGAGGTGGTTAGCTGCATAAAGACACTGGTCCTCTCCACACAATCAGTAAGACTCCAACTTCTAACATGGCTAAGACCAAAGAGCTGTCCAAACACACCGGAGACAAAATTGTAGACCTCCACAAGACTGGAAAGGGCTACGGGGCAATTGCCAAACAGCTTGGTGAAAAAAGATCAACTGTTGGAGCAATTATTAGAAAATGGAAGAAGCTAAACATGACTGTCGATCTCCCTCGGACTGGGGCTCCATGCAAGATGTCACCTCGTGGCGTATCAGTGATCCTAAGAAAGATGAGGAATCAGCCCAGAACTTCACGGGAGGAGCTGGTCAATGACCTGAAGAGAGCTGGCACCACTGTTTCCATGGTTACTGTGGGTAATACACTAAGACGTCATAGTTTAAAATCATGAACGGCACGGAAGGTTCCCCTTCTTAAATCAGCACACGTCCAGGCCCGTCTTAAGTTTGTCCATGACCATTTGGATGATCCAGAGGAGTCATGGGAGAAAGTTCTGTGGTCACATGAGACCAAAATAGAACTTGTTGGTCTTAATTCCACTCGCTGTGTTTGGAGGATGAAGAATGATGAGTACCATCCCAAAAACACCATCCCTACTGTGAAGCATGGGGGTGGAAGCATCATGCTTGGGGGTGTTTTTCTGCACATGGGACAGGACGACTGCACTGTATTATTGAGAGGATGACCGGGGCCATGTATTGTGAGATTTTGGGGAACAACCTCCTCCCCTCAGTTAGAGCATTGAAGATGGGTCGTGGCTGGGTCTTCCAACATGACCATGACCTGAAGCACACAGCCAGGAGAACCAAGGAGTGGCTCTGTAAGAAGCATATCAAGGTTCTGGAGGGGCCTAGCCAGTCTCCAGACCTAAACCCTATAAAAAATCTTTGGAGGGAGCTCAAACTCTGTTTCTCAGTGACAGCCCAGAAACCTGGCTGATCTAGAGAAGATCTGTGGAGGAATGGAACAAAATCTCTGCTGCAGTGTGTGCAAACCTGGTGAAACACTACAGGAAACCTTTGACCTCTGTAACTGCAAACAAAGACTAATGTACCAAATATTAACATTGATGTTCACAGGTGTTCAAATACGTATTTGCAGCAGTAACACACAAATAAATTTAAAAAAAAATCATACATTGTGATTTCTGATTTTTTTTTTTTTTTTTAGATTATGTCTCTCACAGTGGACATGCACCTAAGATGAAAATTTCAGACCCCTCCATGTTTTCTAAGTGGGAGAACTTGCAAAGTCGCAGGGTGTTCAAATACATATTTTCCTCACTGTATGCGTATTTAAATTTACAATCCATTTCCTTAGTTTTGTAAATTATATGAATGAATGTGTGATACCATCAGTGTTTACGTGCAGTGGGTTTGGTGTTATGCCAAATGGTCCATAACTTGTATTGCACCTTTTTATCTCTGTATTTTTACGCACTTTGTCACTGATAAGCATATCTGTGGGCAGGGGGGGGGGGGGTCTCCCTCAGAGACACTTTGGCATGCTGCGGGGGTTGAGGATCCGACCCTCTGTTTAGAAGACAACCACCCAACCTTCTGGGTCAAACCACCTGTGTTTCATTCTGTTTTCAGTGTGGACGAGGAAACAGAAATAAACAACACTAGGGATGAAACAAGGTTTGGCTGTAATGATCAAGAACATAAAAAAATAAATAAAAACTGCATTATCGCCTATCACATCAAACATTTAAAAATCATGCATTTAGATCTCCGTTTCATTTCCTGCCAACATGTTTGTGTAATTCTGGATTATTTTCATCCTTGTGCTGCTTAATGACAGTTCTGAAACGCTCATTTAGTTCAGTGTGTGACTCGTTTTCGTGAAGTTGACAGATGGTGGCGTTTGCAGTTTTAAATTTGACGGTTTGCTTACAAGTTGTTGACTATAAGAAAAAGAATTAGAAATGCTTTTATGTTACTGAACCCAAACAATAATCTAATGCTAGATTTTAAGAAAATCTGTGCACACCAATGAACTAAACTGGGGGTACAATTTTGTAAACTGAGCAAACATATTTTTATGATCTCTCACTTCCTTTTGACCCACGGTAGGACCCGTAGCTACATACGAGCCATGTTACTTTTTATGGAGTGTCCACATAACAAATCGATAAAATAAGAGCTTACTTCATGTTGATTGCTTTCAGGACTTGAGTCAAGGTAAAACAGCCAGCATCCGTGTCTGTTACAGTCACAAACAGACAAGCGCCCCAAAGCTTCTTCTGACTCTCCTAAAAACACATTCAGAACAGTGTGAGAAAAAATATAATTAGTTAATTTAAAGTCTGAGAGGCAAAGGCTCATTTCTGTGTAACTCACGACACGTTCAGTCACCTGACTATAAACACATACATTAACTGCATCCATGGATTCCTGGACAGTTTTCCACAGCGCCCAGGCGTGTTCACACACCAAGTCTGTGACATGAAGGCTTTTACACAAAGCAACAAACTCAGCCTCCTTGTCTTTGTGTCTGGAGAATGGAAAAACAAAAAGATGGAAACAATCAGCACATCTCAGCGGACTGCAGCCTCTTAAGACTGCTACTGGATAGCGATGCGTTTATTCTCGAAGTCCGACATCCGAGTAACGTGGTCACGTCACGTGAACACGCTGTACAAGAAGGCTGACATATAGGTCGAGGGAAAGTTAACAAATTAGTGAGACGTTGCTGTGAATGATTGCACGTCTAACAGAAATAAACATCCAAACAGAAAATATCTAATTCGTCCGTCTTCAAGACTGAGAAGGGAAACGTGGAAAGCTGCTGTAGGCACACTTCGGTCACTACCACGCACACATCTTTTTGGCACATTTTACTTGCTGGTACTTTCGTTACCGTACTTCAAGAATATATGTAATGATTATCTAGAGATCTTTACTTCTCTACTGCCTCGAGTGAATATAAGCCTGAAATATTAGTAATCAAACTGTTGGAAATACAAAGAAGTGAAAACAGGGATGGGGTGAGTGGACAAAGAATTTTACATCATCATACTAGATTTTTTTTCTGTTCTTAGATTATTGAAAGCCGTTTATACATTTATTATGAATATTTTGTATGTTATTATACGTTTATCTTAAATTGTTTTAAGTGCTATTACATAAAATAGATGGTTCAAATTAGTGTGAATTGACTTTAATTATCTTATAAACAGCAGGACGCTGAATACATTGAATACTAACATTAATGAAAAGGTCCTGATTCATGCTCAATAACCCAGGTAGAAAAATCTAACTAAGTTAAGTCAGGTCCTCTGGGCGGATTCTTCTTTGTTGAAACATTTTATCTTTTATCCAAAAGACTTCTTCAGCCTGAGGTCCTGCAACAAACTCAGGCCCTGTTTACATGAGAACTATCTCTGGAAACTTTAGTGTTTTGTCAATGTTTATTGGGGATAATGAAAAAAAGAGGGGGGGTTTACACGAAAATGCTGTAGTTTCCATGTCAGTTGGGATGCCAGATAAGAAATTATGAACTATAGTACTGTTGCTTTAAAATGATAGTAGTTTGACTTATACTGTCATATGTGTTGAGTAAAAGTATTCTAAGATGAGGTGTGTGTTGTGTTTGTTGAACAGATGCACAGAAAAGGAGGGGTAAAGAAGACATTTTAAATTTATCTGGCAACCCTGAATGCACATGCAGTCTCTGCATAATCACAGTTATGTCCAAACTGGTGAATACACAAATGTCTCTTTGGAATCTGGACTTTATTAGTTTTACTCCTGCATGCTGAAAAAGGGTAAGTAGCACAAAAACACCCTACTCTCGGTCATTTATTATAACCGTTGTTAGTGCAGAAAAACTTTTAACTGCAGCTGCCTGTAGTGCGCATGTGCAACCTTCACTCTTGGAGCATTTCCCACCTCTGTGGGGGGTTCCCCTGAAAATCTCCACTCTGGATTCAGAGAGCTTTGGTTTGAGAGAACGAGGTCTGTTGTCGTGTGAATGAACGTTCGAACAGCTGCGGTGCGGCCGTTCATTTACACGACAACGGCAGAAAAGCTGCGGTTTCACTCAAAAAAAAAACGTGTCGAGTTAAAACGGTGCCCGTTTTAAAAAGTTCGAGCATGCATTGAAATATAGCATGCATCAGGATATTTAAAAAGTGGGTTGATAGTCCACCGTTTTATAAATAGCACCTTATCATAGTGGATCAACCAGTTTGCTGCCGACAGCCAGAACTACATGTAAAAGGAGGACCAGCAGCCTAACAATGGATCGTTAGTGCCGTAACAACTGGTCGTTAGTGCCCTGATGACCACGAAATGAAACAAAATTTTGCATGGTGCACTGTACAATTTTGAACAACAATAAAGTTTATAAAGTAACGTTAAAGCTAGTTTAGTTCTGGCTGTCAGCAGCAAACTGGTTGGTCCACTATGATAAGGGGCTATTTATAAGACTGGATTTGCTGCAGGAGCTCAGACTGAAGAAGTCTTTTGGATAAAAGACGAAACGTTTTAACAAAGAAGACTCTGTCCAGAGGACATGACTCAGCCTTGTCAGATTAATGAAAAGCTTTACATCTCAATGACTCAGTGAGACGAACATGTATAAATGAAAGTTGAATGAACATCTGTAGGTTAATAAAAAGTAAGTCTCTGTTTTAGGTGTAGCATCTTTGTAGTTACTCGGACATTCATATCTTTATGAACTATTGCCTATACTTGAAGGAATACGTGAAATAATATCGAAATAATCTACTTCACTGCTTTATCAAATTTTACACAACTGTATTTCCCACCGACCAAAAAGTTTTGAAAATGCTCTTGGACAGCGTTGTTTTGTTTGTTATATTAACTAATTATAAGCTAGTAAACAGTTCTTGTCTGTAAAAACTTGTGTTGGTTCGAAACACTTGGTCAACTCAAATAAAGGCCTGGCTAGCTAACAAGTCGCCACCGACGGGTCACGCAAGCTAACAAGGATGGGTAGCTTAATATCTGGACAATTAGGCTAAACATTCAGGAAAAAGATATCAACATTGATAAAGAAACTACATTCATATCTGCTGAAGTGCTGTTGTTGTTGTGTCTTGACTGAAACATCTAAGCTTTTCTTACTTTTGGTCGGATAACTCGGGACTCTTGTCAATGTCTGGAGAGGCGCTGTCAGCACTCGGCTTCAGCTCCTTGTTGCTTTTTGTCATCCCGGCGTAGCGTTTTCTAGGCGGCATACTTCAAGTGTTTGTTTACCTCACAAGCAACGCTGATAAACGCAAACAAACTCGTGTTGTTTTCAGCGCAACAGCTAATGTGAGCTAAGTTTAAAACCCAATGCAAGTTCCGTGGCAACAATACAACAAAATCCGACCAACTTCCTGTAACCATCCAAAATGTGCGCTAGTTTTTGTGCTGATATAAGCGGCGGACGGGCGGTGTCGCCACCCTGCTCAGTTTACGATCACAATTACGTTATATACACGTTATATAGACGCTTCTAGCTGAGTTTTAATTATTTTATTGTCACTAATTAATTCATATGAGGCCAAAAGCATCATTAGATAGCAATACATTTCTTACATAATCACCTTTAGCTAAGAAGTGGTGTCCACACTGGGCGTTGTCCGGGACAACATGGTGTCAAACCCAACGTACCCAATCTCACTAGGTGAAAACGCGGGAAAATAATTGACGTCGCTTCCGGTTTATTTGCATTTAGCCAAAAAAAAAAAGAGGTTAACACCAGCAGAGGGCGCTCACCATCAACACTGTCGAGTTCTACGCATCCATCGCAGTTCACGTGTTTAAAAGTTAAAAATAAATTTAACCCTCTTTATTTTGATTTCGCGAACATTTCTCACAACCTTTGAAGGTTCAGATATTATTCAGTCAAATGATTCATTTTAAAATGGTTACTAAAACAATGAGATCAGCATATTTTATTCACCCATGGATAAAAAAAATCAGGACAGAAGGTCTTACAGAAAAGGTCTCATGAATGTGTTGTGCATCCCTTGCAGAAATTTATCAAACCAAACTGTCTCAGATTTGTCAACCACAATATGGCACCGTGATCAGAGTTTGAAGTGGGGTTCTGTGGATATGTTTTAAACAATTAACATCTTACCTGTTGCAGCTGGATCTTTGAGTAAACTCAGGTTGGAGAAATAGCGGGTTTCTGATCAGAGTGAGGAGCTAATGGCTGTCTGAGCAGGGTTATGACTAATTTAAACGATTCCAGTATCAAAAAATATCATAGCAGCTGTAAATGTAAATATAAAAGCCTTTACATTATTGTCAGTTTTGCATTACATAATTACAGTATTCCAGCAGTGATTTTAATATTCCTGCTGGAAGGATCTCAGGCTGCACTGGAAACACTAAAGCTTGCTGCTGCTTTTTAGAATAACCACAGAATTATATGTAAATAACTGTCAATCAAAACTGACTGCAATGTAATGTTTTATAAAATAGTGTTTGAGTGATCTGTTGCAGCTACAAACTACTTTAGTCTTGGTCATGTTTGGACGAACCATTAGCTTATTAATCTGGTCATAATTAATGATTATTAGCAAACAGGTGCCACCAAAAGAGCTTTCTACCATTAAAATATTAATTATTTATACTATTTCCACAGAACTTCACTTCAAAATGTCTGAATTATGTATTTAAGGACTTTCGAAGCCAAGTTTCCATTGATAAAAAAAAGATACATCCATTTTCTTTTTTTAAAAGTCAAACGCTGCACATAGAAATAGCTGATACTATAATTTTCAGGGGTACACCTGCATTTCCTTAATTTTGGGAAATCGGCCGATACGTGCATGAGAAACCGATTTTACCAATTTTTTATTTTTTTTTTTAACAACAATTGTCTGAACTTAATTTATATTTCAGAACACTAGCTCATGGCCAGTTAGATCAAGTTTGTATTGTTTCTATAATATTGTTCAAGGATATGTTTTCAACAAAATAACATTGGAAAATTGAAGTTGACCTTGTAACGCCTGACAGAGTCGCTTATCAAACAAAATTGGTATCGGCCAAAATCGGAATCGGCAGGTCAGACTTTTTAGAAATCGGTGCACAACTGCAATCGTTGCACCCCTCATTATTTTTGATAGGATGGCAACATAATTACATTCTAAATTAATAAATTAGTTCATGTTTAAAAAGACAAAAGGCACATTTGAAACGAGATCAATCAAAACATCTGAAAGCTTTTCTCAGATATGTGGACGGTACTAAAAAAAACTGTTCTTACATAATATAAATAAAAGGATTGTTTTACACTGCCCCGCAGAACACAGCTTGATCAGAAACAGCCACCAGAGCCTTGCTGGGGCCCGTCCCAAAATAAGTTCCTCTTTGCACAGTTTGCTCATCATTATGAGTTCATCTCCCACGCCATCCCTGTATAGTCCATGTCTGTAAGCGTGACGGAGAACGGCGCCTCCACTCTCTCTGGCTCCACGTGCTCCTCCCTTCTCTCGGTGCTGCTCAGGTTCACCCTCCAGGAATTCAGGGGTCGAATTGATTTCTGGAAACGCTGCAAAAACAAGTCAGACAGAGACCGTCACCCGCTGAGCAGACTGTACAGCTCCAGCTAGCTGGGAAGATACTGACGTCTTTCAGTGTTCCAGTTTCTCTGCTGATGGCCACGATGGCCCAGATGAGGATCTGCAGACAGCAGGTGGCACCCATGCACGCGCCCAAGGCTTTCCCCCACTGCGGATACACATATGAGCCGTAGCGGAGCGGCGTGTTGTACATCTCGATGAAGATGTAGATCAGGATGAACTATAACCGACATGAAAGAAGCAGCGATGAAAAGGAGAATGGCTGCAGTAGATCTGAAATAAGTGAAGGAATTCAGCTTCTCTTTCAGAGTTTATGACTCTTCAGTCGTTTCCCGTGTCATTTTTGTGGGTCTTTAGAACACGTTGTGTCAGCCCTCATCAGATTACCTTTTCATTTGAAACCCAACAATACACACAGCTTCAATAGGATCTGAATGTGAACCACCAAAACAGCTTCAGGCAACAAAGAAAAAAATAAATAACAGAAAAGGCGACGTCATACAGCACAAACACAAAATCACAGTACTCCATGTATGCAAGGTACATTTTACTGTTCCTGTAACACTGCAGCTAATGGTGAAGGTTATACTGAGTGTTAGAGATAAAAAAGCTACAGTTAAAGCATAAAGTCCCCTCTTCTTCAGTCTGCAGTATCAGTGTAAAAATAAAATGACTCAAATCGAACCTCACGTGTTCAGAAACACAGCAGGTTCCACTGTGTCGTCATTTCTTTAACAAAACTGAAGCCAAAATGTAAAATCTGTGTGAAAGTCCAAGTAGACCTGCCTTTAGCAGCAACAACACAAAGATCTGTGCAGGACTTTAGTAGTTTATCCCATCGATGTGGAGGAATTCTGGCCCACTCCTCTTTACATTGTTGGTTCAGTTCGTTAAGCAGACATTTGTTTCTGCTCAGCTCTCTTCAAGCATTTCAGGCAGAGCTGAACAAAAATGTTTTGTTGCATTTCTCTGAGCACTGCCTGGTCTGACCTTGGGGTGTCAGATTTACTCCTGAGAAGATTTTTTTTTTGGGTGGGGGGTGTCTTTGCCTCAGTAGGAGGAGTTTAGGAATCTGAGCAGCTTGTTCCTGAATGATGGTAAGATGGAGTGGGAGACGGATCAGGACCTCGTCCTCAGTAATGAGGGTGTTGCTTCGATTGGTCGTGGTGAAGAAAAAGTTGAGTTGAAAAGCGAAGCTCTGGATTTCCTGATCTATGTTCCAACCCTTAACTGTGAACTTGAAGTTTGGATCGTGACCAAAACAACGAGATCCTGGATACGAGCAGCTGAAATGATCTTTCTATGTAGGGGGCCGGACTCAGCCTTAGAGATGGGGTGAGGAGCTCCGTCATCCAGGGGGAGCCCGGAGCAGAGCCGCTGCTCCTCCACATCGAAAGGAGTCAGTTGAGGTGGTTTGAGGATCTGATGGGGATGTATCCTGGATGCCTCCCTTTGGAGGTTTTCTAGACACATCCCACTGGTAGGAGGCCCCAAGGCAGACTCAGAACTGGCTGGAGGGTTTGTGTATCTTCTCTGACCTGGGAACACCTTGTGGTCCCCCAGGAGGAGTGTCACTGGGAAGAGGTCTTCTCGCTGTAACTCAGTAAACTTCACAATGTAAGAAAACGGTCTTATCACTCTTCCCAGACTGACGAACAGCAACAGTTGCTTCTCTGAAGTCATTACTGATGTCTTCCTGCCTCGTCATCGTGTTAACACACACCTGTCTGCTCCAGAGCAGCAAAATACCAAAAAGTCTGCTTCTACAGAGACGGTCACACCGACGATGATCAGGTCGTCTAGTCCATTTGATCATGGCTGATACGTTCTCTCCTGAATCCTGTAGAAGCAGCAAAGATGGACTTGATTTTTTAAAAATAACTTTTCATGTTGCTTTTTAGGCTTTGTTGTTTTTGTCCACATGAGGTTAGATTTGAATAATTTTAGAAGCTGGTAAAGACCAGACCACCTAAAATAAATAAATAAATACAAAAGAGTGGACTTTGCTTTCCTCTTCTGAACTCCACTGCATCTGAATTTCTAGAAGACATATTCCAGCTGGACCAGCGTATCAGCTTTTGAAAGTAAAAGCTGATATTGCACACCTGCATGACAAACACCTGTTATAATTCACAGCTAGTTGTACTCACTAGCAGAAGAAAAGGTGTGCAGAAAACCCAACAGGCCTTGAAGTAAATGAGCACTTTGCTGCACCACAGAGGGCAGTGACGAATCATATCGATGATGTCCTGGCAGAACTGGTTGACCCCTAAAAGAAAAAAACAAGTTTTTCATCATATGCATGCTAGAAACTGAAACCGGAACACATGCACTGTGACAGGAAATAAAATATATTAAAAAAAAAAATCAAATGATACTAAAACAATAAATACAAATGGCAATTTAAAGCAGAGCAGGAAACCTTCATGCATTGAAATATGGAATGACATGTTGGTATAGATTGTCAGTCATGCAGGACACGGCAAATACAATTATATATATATAAACAAACAAAACAGCTGGACTTCTATTCTGTAGTTGAAGACGTTGCCTTTTCCATCAGGGAAGCTTTTTCAGTTGAGGACTGGAGAATGTGGCGTTATAAGCTGTAAAGTGCAGGAGATGCTTCTTTTATGCAGCTAAATAAATGTGCACATTCTGCACTCTCTACTGGGATCCATCCATCCGTCCGTCCGTCCATGCCTGCCTGCCTGCCTGCTTGCTTGCTTTTTGTGTCACTGGGTTCACTGGTTCCCATATCCAGCAGTCACTGTGTGAGAGGCAGGGGACACCCTGGACAGGTCTCCAGTCCATCATAGAGATGGAGACAAATGAGACAAACAACCATTCACTCTCTCACTCACACCTAGAGACAATTTAGAGTTACCAATCAGCCTAACATGCATGTTTTTGGTCTGTGGGAGGAAACCGGAGTACCCGGAGAAAACCCACACATGCACGGAGAGAACATGCAAACTCCACCCAGAAGGGCCCCCTGGCCAGGATTCAAACCGGCAACCTTCTTGCTGAGAGGCGGCAGGTCTACCAACTGTGCCACCCCTTTCAAGTCTTGAATTGATAAAAACTTCCTGGATGGGAGGCAAACCATGTCCAATTATAGAATTGAAGCCCATTTTCATTTTATTTTATATATTTATTTTGGAAGTGGAAGTTCAAAGAGTGATGGTTAGGGTGTAATGGGATACCATAGAAGAAGGAGATGCCAAGGCACATGAACAATGTGATGATGATGAGGCCAAAACTAGTGCTGAAGGAGTCAATGAGGGTGAACCAGTAAATCCCTCCCTGTGAACACACACAGCATGGTGAGTCTGAGTACTTTTTTTTCACACAATAACTTTCATTAAAACCAAACTCACATCCGTCACTAAGAGGAGGCCCAGCAGGTAGAAGACAAAACACAGAGTGCCTAAGAATAAAGACTTGTGCAGCGAGTTTCTCCTCAGGCTTGGAAATTCATCCAGCACGGCTGTAGTGATGCCCTCCATGTTGCCGAACTGTGACGTAACAAAACATATTCAGAGGGGGAACATTTGGTCAGAGGGGAAACAATTTGTGTGTTTATTCCACCTAATATCCGCCGGCTTACCAGTGTATCGACCCCGAGCATAAACAGCATGAGGAAAAATAGAATGGACCAAAACACAGAGCCTGGCAGCAGAGCAAGGGCTTCTGGGTAAGCAACAAAAGCCAGCCCAGGACCTGGAAGCAACAGTTCATGACTTGAGTGATAAAATGTTCAAAGATATGTTGAAAATATGAAAACACGTGGATTAAAAGAAGCACAAGACCTGTATCTGCCACCTCTCCAACAGGTACCCCCTTCCTCCACGACATGTGACCCAGGATGGAGAAAATAGCAAATCCCGCAAAGAAGCTTGTGCTGCAGTTTCCCACTGTGATAATAATTGTGTCCCTGAAATCAAAACAAAAGAGAAACGTGACCAACAAAATGAAACCCGGACAATAAACAACAAGGAAAACGATGCAGAAACTCACCTGATGACGTTGTTGTCAAACTTGTTGTAAGACGCCATAGAAAGCAGTCCTCCAACGCCGATTCCTAACGAGTAAAAGATCTGGGAGGCTGCATCATTCCACACCTGCAGCGTGTCAGACAGAAACACAGTTCATGCTGCAGCAGTTTCTACAGGCATGTTGAAATCAACCACCAGAGAAGTGTGTTCACAGCCTCCGCAGATCAAACTCTGACCGGAGGCCTCCAGAAGGTTCAACATGTTCAAGGTTTCTTTAGGCGTTAACCCTAAAAATGAAGATTTCACACAGTGGTATTATAAATCTCTGAACTCAGTAAATCATCCCAAGCTGCCAGTCTTTGGATAACTCCATGTTTTTGTGAAACGGATGGAGCTGGAGCAGATTTTTACCGCGGTACACTTATTTAAAATTGTGCTCAAGATGCACGAGGGAATCTGCTTCTTTCCCTTTTAAATAGTTTTCACATGGAAAAAACTAAAATCAGTCCAGTGACTGAGCTGCATTTATTTTCTGTCTTCCAGTCAATGTCACATAAAATGGCAAAATGTATTTGATCAGTCTTTAAGGCCGTTTCTCAAAAATGATTTCTGTTGAAAATGGAAGAGTTTCGTTGCGTTTGTACTGTTCATTTACAAGAAAATAGTGAATGTTTTCTCTGACAATGACACTAGGGGTTGAACGAGTATTTAATTTTTAAACTCGACATTAACATAATAAAACCCGAGTAGATCTCGAGTATTTGATGACGTCATAGATCTCAAGATACAAAAATAAATAAACAAATAAAACCGCAAAAAAAAGGTAATTATTTACAACAAAAAAAAAAGACCAACAAAACATTGGGAGCGTATTTTATGCTCCTACCATTTATCATACTGCAAATAAGTCACAGGAAAAACTAAACTATTAGTTATTATTATTAAACTGCAAACGTGAAGAAACGTGGGCGTCAAAAACGAAACTTAACCGAAACTGGTTCGGTGGATTGGACCCGGTGTTACACCATACTCTGTGACCTGCAACAGTGCAACACCGCCCCCTACGGTCATACGGTGGTCACATAATATGACGTCACTACGATTACTCAATGTTAAATTTTTAACCTCGATAGATGTCCTAGCAATCGATGTGTAGATTACTCGAGTACTCTGTTAATGCCCTAAATGACACAATTTGAGAACGGGTTCCAGAGTGAAATGGTTCAAAAACGGCCCGGTGTCCTTTGTCATGTAAACAGAAAAATTAGATCTTTTCTGTCAGGGAATCCCTGACTCATGCACAGTATGACGCAAAACAAAACGGCTTCCTACAATCCACAGAAGAAGAAACTATCAACAATGGCGGATACCAGAGTATTGCTTGTGCTTCTGACTCTTATAAAATCTAACTACAGCTCTCCAACACAGTGCTCAGTTTCTACCTCTTTACTTAAATTATCGAAGACAGACCTCATACAGCTCCACTCTGTTACTTAACGGATGTATGCGAAGAAGAAACAAGTTTCAAAGAACATAGCACCAACTACTGGCCTGGTGAGGGAATTACACCTTTTCCACGTCTCCCGTTGCCGTGTAGAGATTGTAATTAGAATGTTTTCATGTAAATAGAAGCAATAAAAGAGGTGGTGGTGTGGCTTTATTTGTCAATAGCGTAATAAAATGTAAATTAAATAGGGAAATGTCAAAAATTGATGAGAATATAATTGAGATAATAACAATTGAAATATTAAACAATAATGATAGAAATATCATAGTAAGTTGTGTATATCGACCACCTGGTCCAAATATTGAGGCATTCACAGATAGAATTATAGATCTATTTGATAAAAGTTGTAATAAAACAATTTTTTTATGTGGTGACTTTAATATTGATTTAGGGAAAAAATCAGATTCCAACAATATCAGTACATTTATTGATTCGATGCAAACTTTAAATCTTTATCCATTAATTTCAAAGCCAACAAGAATCACGACTCATAGTAAAACAATAATAGACAACATTTTTACAAATACAATAAATGGGGATGTGATTGGTGGTATTTTAATAAGTGATCTAAGTGATCATTTACCAGTTTTTACAATTTACAAGAAGTATCAAATTACTACAAAAAAAACTGCTAAAAAAATAAAATAATAATAAATACATCAAAGAAAGCTTTGGATAAATTAAAAAGTGATTTAACTAAACAAAACTGGGACAATGTATATGTTGATGATGTAAACAAATCATATGATGAGTTTATGAATATTTTGGAAGCCCTATATAAAAAAAATTGTGTGTTAAAAAATTATATCAAAAAGAATGTTGTAGACCAACAATGGATGACAAATGGATTGAGAAATGCTTGTAAAAAGAAAAATTATTTGTATTCTTGTTTCCTGAAATACAGAACACAAGCAGCAGAAGATAAATACAAAAAGTACAAAAATAAATTAACTGGGATTATAAGAAAACATAAGAAAGAATATTATAGTGATTTATTAAATAATTGTATTGGGGATATGAGGGCCACATGGCGGGTCATAAATAGTGTTCTAGATAAACATATAGTAAAAACAGGCATTTCACAAAATTTTGTAATAAATAATGAGAAAATCGACGATGAAAACGAAATTGTAAATGGATTTAACCAATACTTTGTGAATGTTGGAACTAACCTTGCAACTATGATACCTAAAGTGAACAGTAATGTTAACTATTTAATTGATGGTTGTCTTGATAGTATGTTCCTGAATGGAACTGATGAAGAAGAAGTAATGAAAGTAGTTAACAACCTTGTTGATAAAAAGTCAAAGGATTGGATGAATATGGATATGACATTTGTGAAGAATATAATGGGCCATGTAATCAAACCATTCATATATATTTGTAATTTATCCTTTACAAAGGGAGTATTTCCAGATAAAATGAAAGTAGCCAAGGTAGTTCCTCTTTTCAAAAATGGTGACAAATGTGTGTTTAATAATTACAGACCGATATCCTTGTTACCTCAGTTTTCAAAAATCCTGGAGAAACTATTTAGCAATAGATTAGACCAATTTATTGAAAAACAGAATATTTTAACTAATAATCAATATGGTTTTAGAGCAAAAAATTCTACATCTATGGCTCTTATGGACTTTATTGAACAAGTAACTACTGCTGTGGACCAAAAACAATATTGTGTAAGTGTTTTTGTTGATTTAAAGAAGGCTTTCGATACTGTTGATCATAATATTCTAGTTAATAAATTACATAAATATGGTATTAGAGGATTAGCGTTACAGTGGGTGTGTAGTTACTTGGAAAACAGGAAACAGTTTGTACAGATGAATGATGTGAGATCAGATCTCTGCACCATCACATGTGGAGTTCCTCAAGGATCTGTACTTGGTCCAAAGTTATTTATTTTATATATAAATGATCTGGTTAAGGTGTCTGGAATCCTCAAATCTGTTCTTTTTGCTGATGATACAACATTTTTTTGTTCTGGTAATAATATTGAACAGTTATTGGAATCAATGATGAATGAGTTTGTTAAAATTCAGAATTGGTTTAAACTCAACAAATTATCATTAAACTTGGAAAAAACAAATTATATGATATTTAGTAACAGAAATAAAACTATTGATGTTCCATTTTTAATTGAGGATTCTGAGATTAGTAGAGTTAATGAAGCTAAGTTCTTGGGTGTCATCATTGATGAAAATTTGTCATGGAGGCAACATATAAACTCTGTTAAAATGAAAATATCCAAATCTATTATGATATTTTATAGAGTCAGGTATCTGTTGAATGACAGAGCGCTGTATTTACTGTATAATACAATTATTGTGCCACATTTAATTTATTGTGTTGAAGTTTGGGGAAAGGCGTGTAAATCAATTACAATGCCTATTTTTATTTTGCAGAAAAGAGTCGTAAGAATCATAACAAGAAAGCATTATTATCATCCAACAAGTATATTATTTTATCAAATGAAATTGCTGAAGTTCCATGATTTGGTAGACTATAATATTTTATCACTTATGTATAGAGCTCATAAAAATATACTACCTTTTAATATCCAAATGTACTTTGTGAAAAGATCTAGCTGTTACGATCTAAAAGGGAAAGACGTATTTGTTAAACCACAGTTTAGAACAAGTTTGAAGGGAAGATCTACCGTAATTCAGGGAGTTGGTTTATGGAATGACTTAGTAAAAGAGGTTAAGGATGCTATATCAATTTATGTATTTAAGAAACTGATTAAAATCAAATTGTTAAATGAATATCAATGATTGTATTTTGATGAGTATTGTATGAGAATTGTAAAATATTTTGATTTACTTACTTGTATTCGCTGTTTACAGGAAACGTTTGTTTGAATGGCTTATTAGATAAATAAGGAGCAGATTTAATAAGATTTTTTTCTTCATCTGCTACCTTTCATTTTATATTTAATATTTTGTTGTTGTTACATATATGTTGATTATGTTGATTGTTATGTATTTATAAAATGAATAAATAAAATAATAAAAAAATAATAAATAAATGAGTTAATAGAAATGGGGAAAAAATTCTGTTTTCATTGGATCGTTGTGTAAACAGGGCCTAAAACATTTTATAAGATCACTGTAGATTTTACAGTAATCATACACCCGATTTGAGGCTCTCTGACCAAACGTCACTCATGTTTTTTTACAAGTGGCCCTTACAAAACAACAAGAATTAAAGTTAGTTTGTCAACACTTAACAGGAACAAACTTTATAGTGACCAGCTTCTGCTTTTCACAGCATATGCCTGTTAGAAAGATGCTTCTTAGTCAAAGGCAGAGGTAAAGATGTAACTCATGGGTAACCATGGTGACCGACTCAGGAGAAAAGTAATCCAGATTTTTGATCCTGAAAATCCTGGAGAACTTGAAGCTACTTTTTAAAGTCACTAAATCTGCATTGTTCAGGCATCAGGTGTGGTCCAGCTCTGATCTGGCTCTGTCTTTGTCCACAAAAAAAACTTTACCTAAATCTTTGCCATTCTCGCTCCTCAATGTTTTTTTTGTTTACTGCGTATGTTCTTGTTTATGTTTTGCATAGAATTTGTGTCTTCTTCAGTAATTTGATATCTATTACCTTCCTTGTATTTTCAAGTTTCTGTCTTTATTTGCAAATTGTGCGCATGATATGAAGTGCATTTTAAAAAAAAAAGCTTGAGCCATGTGCGGCGGTTTGCCATCTGAATTACCTGTGCGTTAGCCAAGCGGCTCCAGTCTGGTGTGAGGTAGAAGGCAATGCCCTGAAGTGAGCCCTCCAGTGTGGCCCCTCTGATGATCAAGACAATGAGGACAAGGTATGGGAAGGTGGCGGTCACATAAACCACCTGAAAACACAGACACACATTAGAAAATAAGGCAGTGAGGGGAACGATTGTGCAAGTTTCCAGGTGGAATTGATGGGAACAAACAGCAATGTTTTGTTAATTCACCTTGCCCGAGCTGCGGATGCCTTTGAGCATACAGAGGAAGATAATGAACCAGGCAGCCAGAAGGCACAGGGCCAGGGGCCACCGCACCGGGCCCGGGTCATGTAGGCCCTCACTGTTCACCACACCCAGCACATTCTCACTACAAAACAAGGAGACATATAAAAAGTTACACCACCTTTAGTCACGCCCTTTAGGTGAGCCAAAACAACAAGAAAAAAGAACGGCTGCATTTAGAAGTAGAGCTAAAAATCTTTCTAAAATCTTACAAACAAGTTTCACGTGATGCCATTAATATTTTCAGGGTTGTTTATAAGACCTATAATAAAAACACAAATGTTAATTGTCTTACAAATGACTTTATAAGCTAAAATGATCCAAAGTATACACTATTATATGATGTTACACAAGATAATGCTTTAAAGTCTGAGTCACTTTATCCAAAAACAGGTTTAAAATGGTAAACAAAATCTATTTGAACCATGTTTGTACGTTTCTATTTGTTCAGAAAAAAACACTTTATCAGTTTGGATTATTAAAAAAACAAATACACAGGAAAAACTTTAAATACGTTTAGTTTAGTCACAGTGAAAGTTGCATAAATAAGTGCAGACTAAAGGTCTTACTTCCAGAAAATCTCAGTGGGGCTGCGAGGTTTTTCCAGGGAGCTATTCCCAAGGGCAGAGCCGTTACCACAGAGGGCTGCATTGGCGATAGCATCACATGACCAGGGCAAGGGACTCTGAAAAGAGCTGCCCAGGTAGTAAAACGTCCACGCTATGATGACGTTATAGTAGAGACACACTAATGTGGACACACACAACATCCCAATTCCAATACCTGCAGAAGAAAGATAAAAATGGACACCTGGTTTTGTATAACAGAAGATTTCTGCAGAGTCATTTTAAAGGATGCTGTGAAACTAGTTTTAAAGGAAAAATATATATATATAACATGTTTATTTCTGAACCGTTGGATGACACTTTGTTGAAGGAGGTCATTACCTTTAAGCAAAGGGCAGCATTTCCACACGGTGATGGGACCAGCGGCGCCATACTGGCCTAAACTCAGCTCCATGAGGAAGAGAGGAACCCCCGTTACAAAGAGCATGATGAAGTAGGGGATGAGAAACACACCTGTGAAGATCAGAATGCTTGAGGAAAAATGGTGCTTGGGAAAAAAAAAATTTACAAGAATTTTTGTGCATACGACCAGCCTGTAGAGACATGTTTACTTATAACGGCTTCACAGACTGAGTTTATTCAGCTTTACTGTTCATCGAGCTTCAGCATGTCTAAAATCAGATGGATTGTGCATAGAATGCATAATCTATGAAAAGAGACAGCATGTCTGAGGTGTAATCAAGGGAAAACCCTGTCTATGCTTTGAAGATTTAGTAAATCTGTGATGTAGGCTGCCAGAGACGACTCTGGAGTTAAGCTGCCATATGCATCACCCTGATTGAGAGAAAAGCACACGCCCAAGGATTGGGCAAAGAACCACTTGACCAGATTAGTCTAACAACTTATTTCAGACGCACACCCAGGCATTAAACACATTTGAGACTTAAGAGGACGCACTTTGAGACCACTCACCTCCTCCATTGCGATAACAGAGGTACGGAAACCTCCACACGTTGCCCAGGCCCACGCAGTATCCAATACAGGAAAGCAGGAACTCATACTTCCCATCCCACTGCTCCCGTGGGACGACCGTGGGGCTAGGGGCTCGGGATTCAGACTGAGACTCAGGGGATGATGTTGTTGCTGGGTGGTGGCCATTCTGAGTCACAGTGTGCCCATTCAGATGTGATGAATTCTTCAAGACAGACAATGTACATTGATCAGAGAGGGAACTCAGAGCGGACAAAAATTCAAATTCAAATTCAAAAATACTTTATTAATCCCAGAGGGAAATTAAATGTTGTTGTAACTCATCATCCTGGTTTCATTAAAGAGTTGTTCTAGATGCTGATGGCTGTGGGCAGGAAGGATCTCTTGTAGCGGTCTGTCCTACAACGGATCTGAAGAAGCCTCTGACTGAAGACACTTTGTTGTTGTATGACATTCTGATGAAGAGGATGCCGAGGGTTGTCTATAATGTTCTTCATTTTATGAAGAATTCTTCTTGTCTGCTCTGTCTCTTCTTGTAAACGGCTTCACTGTTGCATTTCCAGTCCAGTCTATTGTCCAGGTGAACCCCAAGATATTTATACTTCTCCACCACCTCCACTTCTTCTCCCATGATGGAAATAGGGTTGGAGCTGTTCCTATTTCTCCTGAAATCTACAATCATCTCCTTTGTTTTGTTCACGTTCAAGATGAGATGATTGTTTCCACACCATGCCACAAAGTGGTCCACCAGTTCCCTGTACTCAGCTTCTTGTCCATCTCTGATACACCTGACCACTGCAGAGTCATCTGAATATTTCTGCAGATGACAGGAGTCTGTTTTGTACTGGAAATCTGAGGTGTACAGAGTGAAAAGGAATGGTGAGAGTACAGCTCCCTGTGGTGCTCCTGAGCTACTGACCACCTGGTTAGACACACAACCCTTCAGTCTCACAAACTGTGGTCTGCTTGTCAGGTAGTCTTTGATCCAGGCGATTGTTGAGGCCTCCACCTGAGTCTTCTGGAGTTTCTGACAAAGCAAATCAGGCTGGATTGTGTTAAATGCACTGGAGAAATCAAAGAACATGACTCTCACAGAGCTGTCTGCCTTTTCTAGATGACAGTGAGTCTGCTGAAGCAGGTGTATGATGGCATCTTCAACTGATCCACGCTGATAAGCAAACTGCAGTGGGTCCTGATATGTGCTTGTTTGTCTAGTCAGGTGGGTCAGCAGAAGTCTCTCTAGGACCTTCATGATGTGAGATGTCAGGGCAACAGGTCTATAGTCATTGAGGACTGATGGGTGAGTTTTCTTTGGCACTGGAACAAGACAGGATGTTTTCCACAACACCGGAACCTTCTCCTGGGTCAGGCTAAGGTTGAAGAGGTGCTGCAGAACCCCACAGAGCTGCTCTGCACAGACCTTTAGGACTCTGGGACTGACACCATCTGGACCTGCAGCCTTATTCCGGTTCAGTCTCTCCAGCTGCTTCCTCACCTGACTTCTGGAGACGCAAAGGGGGGAAGCAAATGAGGTATTAGCATCTTCTGATTTGGTTGAAGGCAAACATGTAGAAGAAGAAGGGTCCATGACCGAGGTGGTAGATACAATATTTGAGGTGTGACAGGACAGCCTTGGGTCAATGGAGGGTGGTATGTATGTTTGTCTGTGGGCAAGAGAGGAGGATGCTGAGCTTGTTCCTAAACTGAACCTATTGAAGAATGTGTTCAGTTCGTTGGCTCTGTCCAGGCTTCCATCCTTCTGATCCTCCTTCTGCTTGAAGCCTGTGATCTGTTTCATCCCTGACCACACCTCTCTGATATTGTTCTGCTGGAGCTTGCTCTCCAGCTTCTTCTTGTACACCTCCTTGCTGTTTCTTATCTTGACTTTTAGTTGCTTCTGTGTACTCCTCAATAATTTCCTGTCTCTCTCCCTGAAGGCTCTTTTTTTGGTTTAGCAGTTCCTTCAGGTCAGTGGTGATCCAGGGTTTGTTATTGGGAAGCATCTCACTGTTCTGCTGGGGATGGTGTTGTTTACACAGAGTCGGTCACACACTCAGTCATGGCACTGATGTCCTCTCCATGTGGCTGGCACAGTGCATCCCAGTCTGTAGCCTCAAAACAACCCCGCAGGGCTTCTTCAGCTTCCGTTGACCATTTTCTCACAAACAAAAAAGCATTGTACAGGTCTGATAATGATCCACTCATCTTGAGATGTTGACTAAGGCTGCACATAAAAAGATAATCTTTGCAAAATCAGAGTGCACAATACCAATATGACAAACTCAAAGCAGATACCAGTAATGTATGAGTCAGATGTATCCCCACTATCCTAAAAAGTTAAAATGCTAACGATAAATGCTAAAGTAAATGGTAAATGGACTGTACTTATATAGCACCTTTCTATCTTATCAATATACTCAAAGTGCTTTAAAGTACTACTACTACAACTAAAGTAGTACACTAAATTACAGAATCATGACGACATGACAGCGATCCCAAATTTTCCTAATATTGTGCAGCTGTAATGCTGATCTGTTGGGAGTCTGCACTGACATATTCAGATGTGTTTATTGCAGCAAAATTACATCAAATGTGATGAGAATATTATAGATAAATGTTGCAGTGAAAATATCAGGAACAACTGCAGAAAGATTTTTCTCTGAAAATGTTACAAACACTGAGAAATTTACCGAATAAGCAAAAATTGAGATGGTAAAGCTCAAAAGCAGAACATTAGGTAAAAGTTAAAATAAGCAAAATGCTAGCTAAAAGCCAAAAGTGGAATAAGTTACATAAAAACAGTCAAATGCTACTCAAAAATAGCAAAAAGCTAAGCTAAGAAAAATACTGGCTAAAGGCAGCAAAACGACAGCTAGAAGTTAAGATGCTGGTGTAGATATCAGTCATCCAGAACATGGTAAATAAAATAAAAAAAAATAAAAAATAAAAAAACAACTGGACTTTTATGTTGTGGCTGAAGTTATTTTGTTTTCCAACCTGGAGGCTTTATCGATTCAAAAGATGTCTGGAGTGTGAGTACCAGGCGTTATAGAAATGCATGAGAGGTTTCATTATGTGTATTCACATGCAGATTAGACTAAAACTAGTCGCCCCTCCTAATGGAGAGTCGTTAGGGCCTGTTTTGGTTGTAAGCATGAAGGTGTGAGAGTGGAACTGACTGGACCTCAGGTTTAATGCACCATTGTAGATTTTGGAAAGCTGAAATCTGAGACCTCTTGTTTAAAGTTGTTTTATCTCATTTGATGTAAATGTCTTCCTTCACTCCACTTTCTCTTCTGTCTTCTCTGTCTGAACATGGTCCTCATGTCTCTTATCCTTGAGGTGAAGGTGGACCACTGAGTCTGGTCCTGAAGAGCTGCTCTGGTGTGGAGCCATGTGTCTGTGGAGAGATTGTTTAGTTTCTCTAATGTAGAGATCAGAACATTCCTGCAGACACCACACCGCTCAGTTTGTGTCCTTAGGATGGAGCAGTCTCTGTCTGAGGGTCCTGTTAGGATTTAAGTGCAGCAGGGTGTCATGTTTGGAGAAAATCCTTCTGAGTTTCTCAAGACTCCAGCAACATATGGAACGACAAAGTTTGTTTGTTCTTCTCCCTGTCCTGTGGAGTGTTGTTTAGATTTCTTCACTGATTTGACAAATCCCCAAACTAACGAGGTTAGGTCAACCTAAACAACCTAAAAGCTAAAAGTAGCAAACGGCTAGTGACAGTGGTGAGGTCTAAATTTTTGTAGTGGGTGCTTAGAAACCAAAGTACACTGGTTAGTACAATGTAATCGCCAGTTTATTTTGATTTTTAAGCATATTGAACATTTCCAAATTTCTCTGATGCTTATATTTGAATAAATGTCCAACAAACTTTGTACAACAGCTGGCTTTGTATTAAAAACAGTATAGAATTTATAAATTAGTATCAAAGCAAAACATGTTCAAGTATTACATAGTAAGTACAGATTTATACAATAATTCGCTGGATAAGTAAATGTAATAAACAAGTGCTGCATACAGATGGATTGTTACAGAAGCATTTAACTGCCGTTTAACGTCCCAATGGCACGTGCCTAATGATATGTCATATATCATTGGGCACCTTTAAGTGGGCATACTGAAATTCTTAAGCTTTTCTAGTGGGTATACTTTGTATACCTGTGTATCCACGTTCCCTGAGGTCAGCGGATCAATTGCTCCTCACAGTTCCAGGAACTCGTCTTAAGCGCAGAGGTAACAGGGCCTTCTCTGTAGCAGGACCAAGACTTTGGAACAAGTTGCCTTTGATTGTCAGACTGGCCCCTCCCTCTCAGTTTTCAAATCCCGTTTAAAAACTCACTACTATTCAGTAGTTTTCAACACCAGAGGATCTGTGTTTTGAACCTGTACGCTCCATACTGGTTTGTCGTCATATTTATTATCTGCATTGTTTTTTTGTCTATATTCTGATTTACCTCATTTTGTATATTGCTTTGTGTGTTGTCTGTTGTTCTGTCTGTACAGCACTTTGGTTGGCCTTGTCACTGTTTTAAGTGCTCTATAAATGGTATGGTATGGTATCACGTAGGCTACCACTGGCTAGCGAAGATAATAGTAACAAAAGGATAAATGAAAGCTAAAATTAGCAAAAGCCTAGTTAAAATGACCAAAAACTAGTCAAAAGTGACAGAGAGCAAGTTAGAAAGAAGCTAAAAGTAGCAAAAGGACACCTAAAAACTAAAAGTTACGAAAGGCTAACTAAAAGTAGCAAACAGCTAGCTAAAATCTAAACGTAGCAAAACGTTAGGTAGAAGATAAAGCTAAAAAGAGGTTAAATAGAAGCTAAAATTTGCACAAGGCTAGTTAAAAGTGTCAACAAATCAGCTTGAAGCTAGAATCTTCGTTGAGTTCAAGGGTGATACTGACGTGTACAACGCTATTGTGATAATGATCAAAGTGACATATTGTGCAGCATTATATATATAAATACATTGCGTATAAATGTCAAGCTAAATCAAAGGATGTTTTCTATAATCTACCTATAAAATTTCTGAAACCATCTAATGAACTACTTTTATCCTAAACACATAGTTCCTCTCTTGTTTATAGAGTAATATCTTGCACAAGATATTACTCTTTAAACAAGAGAGGAACTATGTGTTTTAGGAAGCGAACTACTTTTTAATGTAGATAAGAGAAATGCTTCTGCTATGTATGCTGTCAGTGTCACTGATCAAATTATAAACAAAGCATTTTTACAATATATGTTGCAGTTTGGTCACACAATAAACAACATCTGCAATATTTTACAGGTTTAACAAATTATAAACAAGGAACAGGACAAATATAGACAGTGCGTGGTGAAATAAGTGAAGAAGAAAAAAGTTATGGACTAGGAAGTTGTTTGACATGGAAGTAAAATGACGAGGATTATTACAGAACTTGTAACTTGAACGTGTTTAAATCCGAGTAGCTAAAATGTTAGTTATTGTCACCATTATCTGGTAGATCATAAACAGGAAGAGCAAGTCTGTGACAACAACTTGAACTTGTTTCATCTCCAGGTTTCTCTGTTGAATATCACTTTTATAATAAATTACAATGTATTTAATTTCTTTATGGGATAAGCTTTGAGGGCTGAATGGCTAATAGAGGAGAAATAAGTTAAGATGTGGCTCAAATGATGAATCCTGTACTAAAACATAGGGAAAACTCTTTCAGCTTCATTTCTATGAAAAAGTAAATAAGTAATGACTGACTGAGTTTTGTTTCGACCAGCGAGTTCAACACCTAGATAAATGCTCTGCATGTGTTGTAATAACTTGAGAAAGGCTTCTGTACACACATCTGTTTGAAAAAAAAAGAACACGGCGGCAGAGTATCCTGTCTGTACGGGTGTCTGTGAACGCAACACTTTGATGCAAGTGGACAGACAGGTCAGACCAGTGATGAGTTCACTGTCGGTATCGAGCCCTGGCATGTAAAAGTAAAAGTTTCATAAATTATTTAAAATGTTACATTAGTTCCAAGTGTGATTTAAACCTTTATAAATCGATTTTAGTGCGGACAGACTCCAAAAAGCTCATATTTCTCACCTGGGCTGCGCTGACTCCTCCGGCGGCGCTCCCGGTTGCTGCTTTGCCACTTTTGTCCTGCATTTCCACACGGCGAAGAGGCGCTCGTTTTTAAATGACTGGTCTTTAGTTCCACATTGTACACAGAAGGAGGGACACCGAGATGCTGAAGTTTTCGAGGCCAGTCGGTGAAGACAGCCGAAGTCGAGACATCAGCGGGGACGATGAGGAAGCAGGGCGGCGAGCGGTGAAGGTGAGGGGCGGGGAGACGGAGAGCAGGTGCCGCGTACAGGAGGAAGCACCGCCCGCTCCTTTAACACCGGGCGGCCCGGACGGAAGGATGTGTACAAACAGAGTAACCAGGAGCAACAAGAGTGAATAACAGCCTGTCTGTTTTTTTAATAATAATAATAATAATAATAATAATAATAATAATAATAATAATATTAATAATAATAATAATACAGTCATTAAAAACTGTTTTGTCTGAAACAGATTTAACTCTTAGAGCATTGGTTCCCAAAGTTGGGGGTCAATGTCCCACTGTGGGTCACACGAAACTTTTAGAGAGGGTTCTGGAAATGATCAATAAAGTTCTTATCTTATCTTATCTTATCTTATCTTATCTTATCTTATTCAAATAACAGTTAAAAATGATTACTACAAGAATATATATATATATATAAATTGCAGTTATATTAAAAGCAAAAGTGAAAAATACAAATAAAATATGAAAATGGTTTGAGTTATTTGGAATCTGCCCCTTTTGATTTAAAATTTATTTTGGCATCGTTTGTGTAGTTCAGCTAGTGAGCAGTTTGTAATTGTTAGTTTATGAGCCAGGAGGTAAAATTTGGAAACTCCTGCTTTAGACCACGATGTGGGCAAAGTATGGCCAAAGGGCCAGATGTGGCTTTTGGACAGTGTTGAACCAGGATGCACTCAAATTCATTCGAAACAACATAAAATCAACTTAGAAAATCATGAAGCAATGAAAACAAGCATTTTGCAGGATTAATGAGTCTTAATGCAACACAGAACAACATGTAAACAGACACATTTTTTGTCTTAATATTAAGGTTTTAGTGAAAAAGAGAGATATCTGTAGTTTAGTTTTGATTAAAAAATGAGATTAAAAACAGTTCAGCCATTTTGGCATGGGTTTCTGCATCTTCTTGAATGTGGTGAAATAGTTTAAGTTTGACAGAACTAAGCGGTCCTAAAGGACCCTTTAGAACCATAAAGCTAAAGGGTTGTCTCAGTGCAACTAAATTTAAATCGTCGTCAGTTTCACATGACATGGTTATTTATGTAGAACTCTGTGGTTATTTACACATGTACAACCAGCAGTTGCAACATTTAGCACTTCTGGTGCATTTGGTCACATCTAGCAGGAATTTCACAAAATCTCTGCAGATAAAAACTTAATACTGGAAAACTGATATTTGTTAAAGAGTATAGCATTTGCATGAACCACTTTAAGACAGCAAAATTTATCTTGGATCATTTAGACAAGCTAAAAATTGCTAAGCCAAGCCAAACTGTGCACTTGCACACTGTTTTTAGAAATAGTTTGACATATTTTTATTGATCATAAAGGCTCACATTATTTCAATAATAAGAATTAAACAAACAGACATTAGAACACATTTCAGGTAGCTCCCTTCTCATTGCTCTCTTTATGAAACATTCTTATTAGTGAAGATTTAAAAACTGAAATCAATTTGCATTCAATAAGTTACATTTTTAAACCTGTATAAGCTGCTGACCAAGGTGTATAAGTAGTATAAGTGCTTATTATAAGTGTATAAGTGTAGTCAAAGATTCAACAAAACCATCTTTCAACACACACGACTTGTCAGCATTTTATACAAAGTATAGAAGTGAAATTTAACTCACATACAATAATGACTAAAATATTCAATGGCATATTTGAGGGTGAGAAAATGTCTGAGGAATGGAGAAGAAGTGTGCTGGTGCCCATTTTTAAGAAAGAGGGTGATGTACAGATTTGTAGCAACTGCAGTGGAATTAAGTTGATGAGTCACATGAAGATCTGGGAGAGAGTTGTAGAAGATAGAGCTAGACAAGAGGTGACTATTTGTGAGCAGCAGTATGGTTTCATGCCAAGAAAGAGCACCACAGATGCCATCTTTGCTTTGTGGATGTTGATGGAGAACAGAGAGAGTCAGAAAGAACTTCATTGTGTCTTTGTGGATTTAGAAAAAGCATATGACAGAGTGCTGAGGGAGGAGGTGTGGTGTTGTATGAGGAAATCTGGAGTGGCAGAGAAGTGTGTTAGACTGGTACAGGACATGTATGAGGACAGCAGGACAGTGGTGAGATGTGCTGTAGGAGTGACAGATAGCTTCAAGGTGGAGGTGGGGGTGCATCAAGGATCTGCTCTGAGCCCCTTCTTGTTTGATCTGGTGATGGATCAACTAACAGATGAGGTCAGGCAAGAATCCCCATGGACTATGATGTTTGCAGATGACATTGTGATCTGTGGTGAGAACAGGGAACAGGTAGAAGAGAACTTGAAGAGTAGGAGGTATGCACTTGAAAGAGGAGGAATGAAAGTCAGCCGTAGGAAGACAGAGTACATGTGTGTGAATGAGAGGGAGGAGGTGGAACAGTGAGGCTACAAGGAGCAGAGGTCACAAAGGTGCAGGACTTCAAGCACTTGGAATCCACTGTCCAGGAAAATGGGGAATGTGGTAAAGAGGCGAAGATGAGAGTCCAAGCAGGATGGAGTGGATGGAGAAAATATTCAGGAGTGATTTGTGACAAAAGTGTGTCAGCAAAGGTCAAAGGAAAAGTTTACAAGACCAGTGAGACCAGTTACTTTGTATGGTCTGGATACAGTAGTATTGACAAAAAGACATGAGAAAGTGGCAGAAATGAAGATGTTGAGGTTCTCCTTGAGAGTGACAAGGATGGATAAGTTTAGGAATGAGATCATCAGAGGTACAGCACAGGTGGAACAACTGGGAGATAAAGAGGCCAGACGGAGATGTTTTGGACATTTTCAGAGGAGAGACAGTGGGTATACTGGCAGAAGGATGCTGGAAATGCAGCTGCCTGGAAAAAGACAAAGAGGAAGGTCAAAAAGGAGATATAAAAAAGGAGATATATGGATGCAGTTAGAGAGGACATGGAGGTAGTTGGAGTGAGGACAGAGGATGCAGAGGACAGAGATGGAGGAGGATGACTCATTGTGGCGACCCCTGAAGAGGGAAAAGCATCAAAGAAGAAGAAAAAGATGGTCTGGGGGTTTAAAGATCAAATTGAAAATACTCTCAAGTTGAAATGAAAGGAAACACTAATAAAGGATTTCTTAACAGGAGACATTGCGAAGGAGAGAATTCAGAAACAGTAACAGGGTTTAAAGCATTCTGGATAAAAGTGGCCAAAATAACGATTGAACAAAAACAGGAGGTATGATATTGACTGGATAAAGGACAAAAGGAAGACAATAAAAAGACAGCTGGGGGAACCAATTTCAGCTAAACAGGAAGTAAAAAACCGAAATAACGAACATAACCATAAAAAACAAAAGGCAAATTCTTAACAAACTGCATAGGAAGAACACAGATAGTGGCGTATTCACAGCGCTTCACACTTTCCACATTTTGTTTTGTTACAGCCTTATTACAATTTGTATTAAATTAATCTATTTCCTTAAAATTCTACACATCCCATCATGACAATGTGAAAAAAAGATTTTTTGAGATTTTTGAAAATGTTTAAAATGCAGAAAACTAAGAAACCATATTTATGTACGTATTCACAGCTTTTACCATGAAGCTCCATATGTTTCCACTGATCATCCTTGAACTTAAATGGAGTTCACCTATGGTAAATTCAGTTGATTGGATTTGATTTGGAAAGGCACACACCTGTCTATAGAAGGTCCCACAGTGGACAGTGCATGTCAGAGCCCAAACACTAAGCATGAAGTCAAAGGAATTGTCTGTAGGCCTCTGAGACAGGATTGTGTTGAGGCACAAATCTGGGGAAGGACACAAAAATATTCTACTGCTTTGAAAGTCCCAGTGAGCACAGTGGACTCCATCATTCATAAATGGAAGAAGTTTGGAACCACCAGGACTCTTACTAGAGTTGGCCGGCTGTCTAAACTGAGCGTTCGGGGGAGAAGGGTCTTAGTCAGGGTGGTGACCAAGAACCCAATGATTACTCAGTCAGAGCTCTAGTGTTCCTCTGTGGAGAGAGGAGAACGTTCTAGAAGGACAACCATCTCTGCAGCAATCCATCAATCAGGGCTTTATGGTAGAGTGGCCAGATGAAAGCCACTCCTTAATAAAATGGCAGCCCGTCTGGAGTTTGTCAAAAGGCATCTGAAGGACTCTAAGACAATGAAAAACAAAATTCTCTGGTCTGATGAGACAAAGATTGAACTCTTTATTGTGAATGTTAGGCATCATGTTTGGAGGAAACCAGCTCATCACCAGGCCAATACCATCCCTACAGTGAAGCATGGTGGTGGCAGCATCATGCTATGAGGATGTTTTTCAGCAACATAGAGGGAAAGATGAATGCAGCAATGTACAGAGACATCCTGGATGAAAACCTGCTCCAGAGTGCTCTTGACCTCAGACTGGGGCGACGGTTCATTTTTCAGCAGGACAATGACCCAAAGCAGTGTAGCACAGCTACAGCTACAGCGTCCGCTCTCAGGACATTATTACCTGCAGTGTTCCCTCAGTGAGGACTGAACTAGGCAAAAGGGCCTTCTCCTACTCCGCTCCTGTATCTGGAACATCTTGCAAGAAGATCTGAAGCTATTGACCTTGACCTCTCTAAGTGGCTTCAAACATCTGCTAAGTTCCTGGCAAAAACCAATGCAGACATGTTCCTGTTTTTAGTATTTTATATTGCTTTACAATCTAGTTATTTTTGTTTAGTTTTCTTAATACCATTTTATTTCATTTATTCTTCTCAGGTTATAAGCTTTCTTTCATGATTGTCTACTGTTGTCATAATTCTTTGTTAAAAACAGGTCTCTCTTGTAAATGAGTCCCAGAGGCTCAATGAGACTAACCTATATAAATAAAACATGGCTA